AAATATAATCCATACTGACATTATGTAACAATGATGTTACAGGATCTATATGTTTTATCCTTCCCCTGAAATATAATCCATACTGACATTATGTAACAATGATGTTACAGGATCTATATGTTTTATTCTTCCCCTGAAATATAATCCATACTGACATTATGTAACAATGATGTTACAGCATCTATATGTTTTATTCTTCCCCTGAAATATAATCCATACTGACATTATGTAACAATAATGTTACAGCATCTATATGTTTTATCCTTCCCCTGAAATATGATCTGTAAAGTCATTATGTAAGAACTGCAATTTTCCCACTCACAAATACACTAAAAACACAGTTTACAAAACAAAGTGAAAAAAAAAAGATAAAATGCAGAAAATGTTTTTAATCACATTTTCCCATCGATAACAAGAACTGTCATATTTACGTAAAACTATTACTGAAACTGAGTAAAAAAAAAACAGGATTAGTATTAAGTATTAGAAATAGTATTACACTCCTTAAATAATACATGTCTTTATTTTAATCAAATTGGCCTGGTTTCATTCTTCAGCATTCTTTAAAGCTTCATTATTAAGTATTAAAAATAAGTTCTTAAAATAAGAACTTCTATACTGTTAAAAAGTTGGTGTATTAATATATTTTGAATTAATTATTCTTAACTCTATTAAATTTTTGGAAGAAAAATTAAAACATGCATGAGGTTACTAACCTATAAACTTACTTTAAGTTTTTATTTAACAAAAAAGCAGGTATTAAACAGCTATTTTTTTTTCTCTTCAACCTTTATTCATTTTAAACTATATAGTTTTTTTCCAGACTGAAAAATATAAAATTCAGTAAAAGAATCTTTAATTCAAACAAACCAACTTTGACTTTCAACTATGACCTACACTTACTTTGCATCTGGGTCATACTCAGACCATAGTCGTACAAATTCATCGAGATGATGTGGACCAAGAATTGACCAGTCTCGTGTTAAGTAGTCAAAATTGTCCATAATCACAGCTACAAACAGGTTTATAACCTAAAGCACCAAGATTAAAAAGTAAAGAGATGTTACACGATTGAAAAAAAATGGTACATTACTTTGAAAATTAAATAAATAAATATAAACATGTAGCACTTTCTATTTGATTAACACTAACATGTTTTAAACATTAAAGCAACAAGAGCTCAATGTATAAACAAATTTTTATCATTTGTTTGTCCTTTTACTCAAATACAAAAGCTCACACTTTTTATTGCAAGGATACTTCATGTTTCCCTAGCCCTTAAAATACTTCATGTTTCCCTAGCCCCCTAAAATGCTTCATGTTTCCCTAGCCCCTAAAATACTTCATGTTTCTCTAGTCCCAAAAATACTTCATGTTTCCCTAGCCCCTAAAATACTTCATGTTTCTCTAGCCCCTAAAATACTTCATGTTTCCCTAGCCCCTAAAATACTTCATGTTTCCCTAGCCCCTAAAATACTTCATGTTTCTCTAGCCCCTAAAATACTTCATGTTTCTCTAGTCCCTAAAATACTTCATGTTTCTCTAGCCCCTAAAATACTTCATTTTTCCCTAGCCCCTAAAATACTTCATGTTTCCCTAGCCCCTAAAGTACTTCATGCTTCCCTAGCCCCTAAAGTACTTGATGTTTCTCTAGCCCCTAAAGTACTTCATGTTTCTCTAGCCCCTAAAATACTTCATGTTTCCCTAGCCTCTAAAATACTTCATGTTTCTCTAGCCCCTAAAATACTTCATGTTTCCCTAGCCCCCTAAAATACTTCATGTTTCTCTAGCCCCTAAAATACTTCATGTTTCTCTAGCCCCTAAAATACTTCATGTTTCTCTAGCCCCTAAAATACTTCATGTTTCTCTAGCCCCTAAAATACTTCATGTTTCTCTAGCCCCTAAAATACTTCATGTTTCTCTAGCCCCTAAAA